GAATAGCTCGCTATTGATGTACCCCTTGTGTGTGTGTGTGTGTGTGTGTGTGTGGCTTGAGAGTACGAGGTGGCGCTGTCGGTCGTCAAGTGGCTGTGCCTGCTGACGAAAGCCGCCGACCGCCGACTGCCGACCGCTCTGGCCACCGACTGCCGACCACCCTCGCGCCAACGCGAGTGAGAAGCGACCAGTCGTGATGGCATGATGCCGTAGCTAAAGCCGTTGGGTCGAAGGATGTGTTGATGGCGGGTTCATTGTCGGGCTACAGGTCAGTCAGATGGCTAGATCTCCTCCTCACCGCGAAGCTGGCGCTGGAGCTGCTGGATGCCGCGGAGGATCTTGAGCGGCGTGGCATGGTGGCGTGACTCTTGCTCGAGGAGGACGCGATAAAAGTCGAGCTGCGAGTGTGTGGCCTCGAGGGTGCGGGCGACAGAGCGGCGGTAGCGCTTGAGAGCCTTGATCTGGTCGCCGCGGAGCTCCATCTTGTCGATGGTGGAGCGGAGCATGGTGTTGAGCTCATCGATGGGGGTCTCCGAGTTGAGGTCCTCGAGCTTGGCACGCATGGCGTGGTAGCGGTCGGAGAGGCCCTGGAACTCGTCCTCGAGGGAGGAGATGGTGGCGTCGATGCCGCGGTGCGAAAAGTAGTGCGTGGAGGTGTTGAGAGCCGACGACGCCGACGCGGCCTCGCCGCCGGTGCCGGTGGCGTCGTTGTGACCTCCGCCGCCTCCGCCATAGCCGCCGTCGTGCGAGTGCGAGTGCGAGGCGTGGTGCTCGGCTTCGCGACGCGACGCGTCGATGACCCGCATCTCGGACACGACGGGCTCCATCTCGTTGAGCAGCGACATGGCCTGCTGCATGTTAGCAGTGACCGAGAACGACTTGCCGGCCGACTTGCCGACCACAAACGGCAGCTCGGGCCGCGGACCCTTCTTGGAGCGGCGCTTCGACCGCGATGCCGCGGTCGGGCGCAGCAGCCGCGACGAAGCCGACCGTGAGCCGGAGCGGCGGCGCGCGCCCGACGGCGGCCGGCGGCCGCCTGCCCGCGAGCCCTTGCGCGAGGCCGTCCGCCGGCGGCCGGTCCGGACCCGGCTGTGTCGGGCGTACGAGCCGTCGTCATCATCATCGTCGTCATCCGACGCAGCCACCCGCGCCAGGAGCGACTCGTTGACGTCGAGCACCTGCTTGAGCGTCTGCTTGGTCTTGGCGCTAGTCTCGAGCACCGACTTGGCCTTCTCACGCTCTTCCACGATAGAGTTCTGCAGCTCGCGCAGGCGACGCTCGGTCTCGGCGCGCATGATGTCCTGATTGAGCTCGAGCTCCTGCAGGCGGCGCGACGACTCGAACGACTCGTTGGCGGCCTGCTGCGAGATCTGATGGGCACGCTCGTTCGACTCGGCGAGCGCGCGCTCGAGCGAGGTCTTTTCCGACTCGGCCGAGTTGACCCGCGAGCGCAGCTGGTCGAGGTCGCGGCGCATGGCCTCCATCTGCTCCTGCGCCGTCATGAGGGTCGTCTCCACAGACTGGTTCTGCTTGCGGAGCTGGCTCTCGCGGGCGGCAGCCTGGGCCTGCAGCTCGGCGCGCTCGCGCTCGAGCATCTGCTTGTACGTCTCCTTCTCGTGCTTCAGCGACGTTGCGTTCTCCTCATAGTACGCCTTGTCCTGCTCCAGCCGCCTGATCTTCTGCTGCAGCGCGGTGAGCGCCGAGATGACTGCCTTGGAGTTGGACTGCGGAACGGCCGACGAGGCCAGCGGCGTGACGTAGTCGGACGACCGGAACTGGGCATCGCCTCGCAACGACGACCGAAGGAAAGAGGCCGGCGAAGGTGCTGGAGGCGGCGATGCCATCGACGACGAAGCCATGGCAGCAGCAGCAGCAGACGGATGACGATAGGGCGAGCCGAGACCAGCACCAGCACCAGCACCAGCACCATACATAGAATCCGAGCCAGCCATGAGCGAGTTGATCTGAGCAAGCTCATTGGCAGGAGTCATACCATTGCCTCTATCAGCCATACTGTTGTTGTTGTTGTTGTTGTTGTTGTTGTTGGGCCCCGAGAGGTAAGCGCGATACGGTGAGGCCATGTAACGGCTGTCTCCGGCGCGTTGGCGACGTGAGCCGAGAGGGGGAGTTGGCGGCGGCGGGGGGGGGGGGCGAGGGAGGGGGAAGGTGTGAGTGTGTGTGTGTGTGTGTGTGTGTGTGGTGTATGGAAAGTGGAGGAGGAATGGGTGTAGGGGTAGAAGTGGGTAGCCGTACTGGTTGTGGGTGTACCCGTTGGGAGAGGACTGGCTGTGGTAGTCTTTGAGCAGTGGGTCGGGGAGGGGGTGGTGGTGGTGGGAGCTGACACCCGTTGTGCCGCCCGCCCGCCCGCCCGCCCGCCCGCCCGCCCGTTGAACTGCCACACCTGTGCGCCAACCAAAAGATGGAACGGGCTGACCGAGTTGCTGACCGAGTTGCTGACCGAGTTGTCGAACGATCAACATATGTGCCGATCGATGGACTATGTTGGACCAGTGATAGTGGCTGTAGTAGTTGTGGCTTGTGGGTGGTACTGTTGATCTTGATGTCTGGAGGAGGGGGGGTGGGTGCATTGGCAGTAGTGTACGATTATTTGTTGTAGGTAATTGTTGATGGGATCACGAGGCGGATACGGGCTATCGCAAGCCGTGAGAGCCATCTTTGTCAGACGGGAGAGACAGCGCACGAAAAGCACATGGTTTAATAGTCAGCGTGTGTGTGAGAGGGATGTGGTGCTTGTTCATAGGTTTGATCGCTGTCGAAGGAGGGCGGGCAGTTTCGGTGGCATTGGGTCGTCAACGAAGCAACAACTGTCTGCACTGGAGAGCAGGAGGGGCGGCCGGAGCAAGAGACAGCAGAGGAACAAGGGCTCGACGGAGGGACGAGAGAGCGAGCATGAGCAGCATTTCAGACACATGGCTCATACTGCTTACCATCTTTCTCCCTCTTACCATTCCTGCCGCTATTGGGGTGACGCGGTGGACGCGGAAGCAGTGTTGTCCTCAGGCGTGTCTTGGCCTCTCGGCCTCGTCGCGCGCGGTCAAGGCTGTGATCCGCGATACGGTGCTGCGCAAGTATGGGGCGGCGTGGCAGCTACTGCAAGTAGTGCTATCGTTTGTCTCGGCGGGCTTCTACGTTCTTGGCCTGTATCTTGATCCCAAGACCAACGGATGGACGCTCTGGGCCGAGGGCGCCATCACTGCCGCCATCCTGGCCGACTACGGGTTCTGGCTGTTCATGGCGCGACACAAGTTGGCGTACTTTTTCAACTTTTTCGCCCTCATCGACGTCTACACCATTCTTCCGTTCTTTCTCTTGCTCCTTGCGGGCGTCGACCGCGATCCGAGCGCGTCGTCGATCGGCGTCCGCGCCATCGCCGCTCTCCGGGTTCTCCGAGTCCTCCGCTCGCACAAGCTCCTCGACTTTTCGTCGGGCTCGCTCCAGCGGCAGATGTGGATCGTTTTTCTTACCATCTTTAACTTTCTCTTTTGTTTCACGTGCTTCATCCAGCTGGTCGAGTCGTCCAAGGACCACGATTTTCCGTTCCACGACTCGCTCTGGTTCACAGTCATCACCTCGACCACGGTCGGCTACGGCGACATCTCGCCCACGACACACCTCGGGCGGATTGTGGTCATTGTGCTCGTCTTTCTCGGCGTGGCGCTCATTCCGACCGAGACCGGCAAGCTCATCAATCTGGCCGCCAAGCGCAACGTGTACCTGTCGTCGGTCTTTGTGGTGCGGAGCGGGTACGACCACGTCGTCGTCCTCGGCTCGGGCCCAGACTCGGCGCCGGCCATCCACGGCTTTTTGCAAGAGTTCTACCACAAAGACAATGCTCTGCACGATGTGCGGATGGCCATCCTCCTCGACTGCTATCCGCCTGAGGATCTCATCCGCGCCGTCGCCAACCCGTTCTTTGCCCACCGGGTGGTTCTCCTCCAGGGTTCGGCCATGGACAAGGCCGACTTGGCCCGGACAGCGATCAGTGAGGCGTCGACATGCTTTATTCTCACGCCCAAAGCTGTGCCAAATGCGTTTGCACAGGACGTTGTAACTATCATGCGGTGCGTGGCGGTGCGGGCGGCGAGCTCCGAGGTGGTCATCATTTCGCAGCTTCTCCGTCGGATCAACATGACCCATCTTACTGCAGCAGGCTGCGACTACATCCTCTGCCTTGACGAGATCAAGATGGGAATCATGGCGTCAAACGCCATCACGCCAGGCCTCTCCACCTTTCTCATCAACCTCCTTCGCTCGTTTTCCGACTCGACCGTCACCTACCCACCTGGCTCGTGGGAGGAAGAGTATGCGGCCGGCTACGGCAACGAGATTTACTGCAAGAGCATCACATCGGCACTGGCAGACATGACGTTTTCGGAAGCCGTGTATCTCCTCTTCTCTGAGCTTGGCGTCACCGCTTTTGCCCTCGAGTGCGAGGTGCTTGGCGAGTCACGGACGTGGCTCAACCCCGGCGACGCGTACTTGCTCCGCCCCGGGGACATCATGTTTCTCCTCGCGCCCGATCCGAAGGCTCTCATCTCGCCGTACTTTACCGACGGCGAGAGCGAGCAAAGCGGGAGGAGCGATCGCCCACCGACAGCGAAGACGCCTGCCTCGGAGCCGGTCCTTGCCGGCCACCCGCAGTACCGACAGCCCGGCACCCCAGCGCCCGAGTCGACCTGGGACAAGGTAGTCGAGTTTGTGCACTCGATCCTCCTTACGCCGGTCGAGGTGGGCCCGACGGTGACGCTGCCAACGGCGGCGACGACGCGGCCGGCGCGACGAGCTTCGACGGCAGCGGGCGGCAGCAGTGACAAGTCACCTGAGCGGAGCAGGCGGCGGTCGTCGGTGGCAGCGCCGTACTCATCCAATGTCATTCCCGAGTGGGCGTACGCCGCCAGCCACTACGTCGAGCAGCCGTATTCGGTAGAGGAGTCGCTCTGGCTCGACTTTGCGCCGAGCGCAACAGCAAGCAGGACGGGCCTCGACTCGCCGACGAGCACCGGGTCCGGCTCGGACTTGCGGCGGCGATTCAAGACGTCGTTCACACGGGCGTCGATGAAGAGCGAGGTCGGAGGACGAGTGGGCAGCAACGAGGCGTCGGAGAGCAACGTGTGGGACCACGTGTACTCGCTCCGATCGGCAGCACCACGCTCGCGCAGTGAGTGTATGTATGTGCCTTCGAACGCCATGCTGTCGCACGTGATTGTGGCCGGCACGCTCGACGGCATGGCATCGTTCCTCCTCACGCTCCGGTCGCGGAAACAAGTGGTGCAGGTCCCGATCCTCATCCTTCACGAGAACGAGCCGAGCGAGGCGCTTTGGCACGTCATCTGCCGAATGGACCTCGTGTACTTTTTCCGCGGTAACTACATGTCTGTGACCGATCTCGCCAAAGCCGGGGCGCAGCGTGCGCTGCGCGTGGTCATCCTCGGCGCGTCGACCAAGAAGTCGGCGTCCGAGCCGGACGTGGTCGCCGACTCGGACGCGATTTTTACTGCGCGGCTGCTCAAGCGGCTTGTGCCGTCGCGCTCGGACCTGGTCTTTACCGAGCTCTCGTACGGGGACTCGATCCGCTACCTGACGGCCGAGCTCGAGGATGACCTCTCGGCGGGCTCGTACCACTTTACGCGCCCGTTTGCGGCCGGCCACACGTTTACGTCGACCATTCTCGACTCGATGATGGTCCAGGTGTTTGTCAACTCGGACGTGGTCGACATTGTGCGGCAGTGCATCGGGCTCGGGGACCACGCGGTGTTTGCTGCCCTCTCATCGGCGCCGTATCAGATCTCGGTCCCGCTCCATTTGAACGGGCGTCCGTATGTCACCCTTCTCGAGCTCCTGATCCTGCGCGAGTCGGTTGTCCCGCTCGCGCTCTACCGCAAGACGACGAGCGAAGCTGGATCCGGCACGCCGCACTCGCGCTACGTCTACACCAACCCGGCACCCGACACCATCATCCGCGCCGACGACCGCGTCCTCGTCCTCGCCGCCGATCCAGACGCGCTCTCGACGCTTCTCTCGACAGCGACGTCAGCCCGCCCTGCCCATGCGCAAGTGGTCAATGGGCGGCGCGGCGCACATTCAATGCATCTCACCGTGGCGATACCTGCTCCCGGTGCTACGCAGTGTAAGCCGCCGACCAACCGCACCATCGCGGCGCGGCGGTTGTCCTCGTCGCAGTCCGCCGGTGGCCGGCGAACCACGCTCCCGTCGGACGACGATCAGTCTCAAGCCGAGCCTGCATCGTTTTCGTATGATTATGATTATGACGACGGCGGTAGTCGGGCCTTGTACGAGTGACAGTCCAGGGTGATGATGGTGATAGTGGGAATGAAGCTTGGCGCGGGCTGGGTGTGGCGCGCGTATTGGTTTTTGGGCGTTGGGGCGAGCAACGGCGAATGGAAGCTGTCCGACGAGTTGGGCGAGAACGAGGACAACGGCGACGAGACAGCCAACTCTTCAGCGTGCGCACACTGGGTGCGACCATGGAGACGGCAGGAACAGACACACGCCGGGTACCTACCCCACCTCAGGGAGGTGTTGGTGGGGGAGGAAGTGGGAGCATGACTTCGAGTCGAAGCCAGCTCGCCACAGCAGGACAAGAGACAGGCAAGGCGTCTGAAGCGAGGACAAAGGCTTCAAAGGCAACAGGGGCTACAGGGACTATTTCGGAGGAAGCAAGTGCATCAGCTGTTGTGGCCACTCCCCTGCCGTTTTCGTTGGACAATGCTATCGTTCGTCGCGCCATGGCTGAGCTGGGACTGAGGCCGGCCGACTTGCGACCGGTTCCGGCCGTGGTCATCGAGGCTGAAGCTGCCGAGGCGCGAGCTGCTGTCATGGCGGTATCGCCGAGGGCACGCCCGGTACAAGAAAAGGTGCAAGCCAAATTGGCGCATGAAAAGGCGGAGCTGCGCGAGGGTCGGCGGAGGAGACTCGTGGACGAGGTGCTGGAGAGGGCGGAGGCGATCCAGAGGAAGTTGGAGGCGGAGGAGACCGGCGGCGGGTTGAGCAGCTCGCGGTCGCGGGCACGGTTTGAGATGCTGGAGACCGACGAGGCACGGAGACACAAGCTGAGAACGCAAGCGGCACAGAATCATTTGACGGTGCTGGAGAAGTCGATGAATGCCGAGCTGGAGATGCTGCGCAAGCGCCGCGATCTGCTCTCATCCGAGGTGACCGAAAAATCCAAGGCACTGATGGCGCTCGCGTCGGGCAAACCGTCCAAGTACGATGCACTGCGGGAGAAGATCTCACGGCGCAACGCGGCCAAGATGGCGGCGTTTGAACGGCGGGCCGAGGCAGCGGCAGAAAAGGCACGAGTCGACAAGGAACGACTCGCGGCGGCGTTGCTCTCCAAGGAGGAGCGGGCAGCAGCGCGGCGAGTCCAGCTGGAGATGGAAAAGTCTGAGGCGCGGCGCAAGGCAGCAACTGCACAGCGGCAGAACCAGGCACGAGCACGCCAGCGGGCCGAGGCCCTTGCGTTGCAAGAGGCCGAGCGCAAGCGGGCGGCACTGGAAGCCAAGCTTGCGCGGGTGAACGCGTTCCAGGAGGAGAAGAGCAGAGCAGCTCAAGCGGTGGCCAAGGCATCGCCGATGAACGCCAAAGTGCGCGAGCGCAAGGCGCTGGCCGATACTGCGGCAGAGCGCGAGCGCGAGGCTAAGATCCTGACGCTCATCCAGAAGGAGCGGCACCGGCGGGCCGGCGGAAAGCGAGCGCGAGCGGAGCGCGAGGCGTACGCAGCCGAGCTGGCGGGCAAGGCTGCGCTCCGGCAAGAGCTTGTGGCTGCCAACCGCGAACGGGCTGCACGTCGTGAGGCTGCACAGCGGGCCTTGGCCAAGCGCGAGCACACGATTCGCAAGCACAAGCTCGACGCCCTCAAGTTCCGCCTCCACACCCACCGATACACCTTGATGGCGGTGCGCGAGGCGGTATCCGACGAGGAGGCCACTATGCGGGCCGAGTTTGAGGCCAAGAAAACGGCACTGTTGGGAGAGATTGAGGAGACCGAGGAGCGGCTGCAGTTTGTCACGCACCGCCATCTTGTGGCCCTGGGCGTGCGGACAGATGCGGTGGGGACGGCGTCGATGATGACGGCACCGCGCGGACCAGGCCGGCCCGGCAAGGTTAGCACGACGGTGGGACGCGCACCCGATGTCCAGGCCACGCTCGACGCCATCGCTGCCAGGGCCAACAAGAAGTTGGCTGCCGGGCTGCGCAAAAACGAGCAGCGAATGCAGCGGGCGCGCGGAGGCATGATCGACGGCTATCAGCCGTCCGAGCCGTCTGAGGACGGTGAGGCCGAGCCCGTTGACCCAAATCTTCTTGCCGAACCGGCCAAGCGGGCGCGCGCACTCGCCAAGTCGTCGCCGCTGCCGCAGCACCTGCTCCTCCACTCAGGCCCGATCATTCCGCGGCCGCCGACGCCTCCCGAGTTTACTCCACGGCCGCACTACGTGGCGCCAGTCCGGGTGCCAAGAGTAGGCTCGTGAGCAGCGACTGTCGACATCCGCGATCACACTGCCGCAGCAAACTCAACGCGTCTAGTTGCGGGTTAAACACTCTCAGTTGCCGGCGGGCGGTCGCTCCGCTGGCTCGACGACCTGACCCTCTTTGCGAGCACATGGTGTCGATTGGCACGGTGACCCAGCGCGGCTGTTGTGATCGAGGTCTGTGCCGCGATCTGGCGACGACGAGTCTGTGGAGGGGTGATGGCATGTGCTCGCTGTCGTCGAGCGACCGGATGTCCCATTCGTCTGGGCGGAGCAGGGCAGGGCTTTGTTGCTTCCGCTGTTAGCTTGATGGCGAGCTGGAACCGTAGCGCGTTATCGAGGAAGAACGACGACGTTGCATCGACCGCCAGGGCGGTGGTGCCCAGGCTGCCGTGCGGCTGCGGTGGACGGAGCGTGGTCGGCTTGTTGTTTGCCCAGCCCATGAACGGCGGCGTGGCAGTCGTCATGCCAGCGGTAACGTCGGCGAGGAGGACGATGGGGCTGGTGTCAGCAGCACTCGGCTGCGAGCGAGGGTGCGGTCGGTGGCAGTCGGCATGCGCAACGCCTCGATGGCAGAGATCAGATTGCGGACGCGGGGCGTGAGCCAGGGCGCGTGTGCGGGCGGCGGCGATGAGGACAACGAGCGAGGGACATGGATGGGGTTGGCAAGGTACGTCGTTGTCAGGTAGAGGTAGCACGACGCCCAGCAAAGCAGAGCTGGCCGGCTGCCCTCGCTTGATCGAGGACGGTAAGGAGGACTGGCGGAGGCGGTGGGGAGGTGTGGGGGAGATCGGGATAAAGGAGGACAGAGTGTTGATGTGCGATGAGGGGTGATTGGATTGCAGAGGACGGTAGGGGTTAGGGTTAGGATGGTTGAGCAGCAGCAGGTGATGGGGGTTGATGGGATGGATGGTCGGGCGTGGTGGTTGCAGGAGAGCGATGACGGTTGTGTGTGGCGGATGTGCGAGGCATAGTTGTGCTCGGCGCATGTATCTGGGTCTCATCTTCAGCAGCTGGAGGGCGCAGGCAGCGCCATCTGGCAATGTGTGGATGGCAGGCAGGTCGCGGACGACGGCCAGTGCATGTGGGTGTTTGGGCTGGGACTGGGATGGGTGGTGTGTAGGTAGGTGATGATTGATGGCGGGGTGTGGGTGGTGAGGTTGTGTGATCAGGTGAGAATTTGTGATCAATGGCTGGCTGGCTGGGGTTGGTGGGATGTGGGTATGGCGAGCAAGTGGATGTGGATGCATGCGCATGTGTGTGGGTGGGGGGGGGGGATGTGTATGGTGATGATGCTGGTGGTCGGCCTCGCGACGGCTGGCGAGTGATGGCAAGCGTGTGGAGGCTGGACGGGTGTGGTGCAATAACCATAATCACCCCCCAGACCCCGACCAACAAGATCCGACCAAGTGCGCCACCCCGGCACCCCATCACTCCCATCGATCTCACCATCCCCACAGCCTACGCTAACACAGAGGGTTGTCAATTTCTGTGGCCAAACTCGTGATGGGGAGAGAACTGCAACCACAATGTGTGAAAACAGTCAACTTCTCCCAACCCACCGAGGCGGGCAACCCCTCACGAGCACTGGCGTGGGTCCGGGCTCTGGCTCTACGGCCAGGGCGCGGGCGCAGGCTGAAGCTAACAGCGGCAGCGCATGATACCAGCTAGAGACCGCGGCGACTTGGCAAGCAAGACGGCGCGGCATGGCGGGAGAGTGGGCTTGTTGAGTTGCACTGATGGCTCTTGCGAGCTAGGACAGGGCAAGTGGAGGAAGGAGCCGGTTGAGCGGAGTGGCCAGGTCAAGCTGGTGCTGGGCGAGGCCGGGAGACCCGGGGCGTTGGGCAGGGGGCGTCGGAGGAAGCTCCGGCGGGCTCTGTGATGCGCTTGAAGAAGACCGGGGCTGAAACGAACTGTGGTTGAGAGAGAGCCAGCAGGGAGGAGCGGGGTGCAGAGATGTGCGTCGTTTGTTTCTTGTCGAAAGAGTACTTGACTTGAGTCGTAAGAAGCAGTGCGGAGCGAGGACAGGGAAGATAAGAGACGACGACAGGCAACCAACCATCAACGGGCCCAGGCCAAGGCAGGCGACGCCACACAAGACCCAAGGCAACACCATCGTCGAGCCAGCGCAGCGCAGCGGGGGGTCCAGGGGGGCGGCAGCCCCTGGGGAGACAGACATCATCGGGATGCTGCGGATGATAGAGGACACCACCAACACCACCTCCCCCCTCCCATGTCCTTGTCCTCGTTCTTGTTCTTGGACAATCCAGAC